AAAGGGAGGATAATGGGAAATTGATGATATTATAACATTAAACTATCATGGAAGTGATTATTATTTTAGCTTTATGAAATATCATGTTGGCGTAGATTGAACACACATCACAATGACGACAGGAATGGTTGTCTTAAGTATTCTCTGGTTTTGTCTGTCTTCCTCCTCTTACTTGGTGAAACCTATCTTTTTGCCTTTGCTTGCCCTTGCTCCCATCCTCCCTCCTGTTTGACTCCTTCCCTCCCCCCTGGCGTCACCCATCTTCCTTTTTACCACCTCCACCTTCTTGTCCGTCAATCTTTGCTTCTCTGCAGTGGTGTAAGTTTGATGATGACGTGGTGTCACGGTGCACCAAGGAGGAGGCCATAGAGCACAACTATGGTGGACATGATGATGACCTCTCAGTGCGCCATTGCACCAATGCATACATGTTGGTCTATATCCGTGAGTCCAAGCTCAGTAAGTAGCAGCATACCCCTTCTGCTTTCCTTACTGCTTAATACTTAAAAAACAAAAAAAAAAGGACTGGTGCCAGAGAAATTGTCACATTAGTACAACATGTTTGTCGTTCAGTGGCTGAGTCTGACACAGTGTACTCCGTTAATGACTGTAATAAGCACAGATATTACTGTAGTGCACCCTGCCTACCCTGCAAGTCTCACTTGTACCTCCCCTGGTATTCTAGGCGAGGTCCTCCTGCCAATGACTGACGTGGATATTCCTCAGCAGCTGGTGGAGCGTCTGCAGGAGGAGAAAAGGGTGGAGGCACAGAAGAGGAAAGAGCGCCAAGAGGCTCATCTCTACATGCAGGTTCAGGTAGGGAACCAGGACTGCTGTTTAAGGGCTGCCAGGTGCTCTGGCTCTCCAACTCAGAGTGCTTTGGTGGCTGTTTAATGTTAGTAATGTGCTAGTGTAAGCTGCATAGCGCAAACCAGTATGTGTAAGAGTATACATGAGAAACTTATCTTCCATTTTGGGTTTATTAAAGTCTTATAAATGTGAAAGTACAGTACCACAATACAGTTTAGGTGGTGAGAAGAGCAGCGAGTGATAATGAGGAAACAATTTGCTAAATGGTGGAGGTTTTTCATATGAAACGATGTTGGCTGCACACGGGGGTCACGTCTCTCATTACTTGTCTCTGGAGAGGCTGTAGGAGGAACACATGTCAGGAGAGGTATGTGTGATAGCTCATAACATTTTGCATTTAAATCTGTAGAATCGATTTTTCTGATCTCAGCAGTGAATCTCAGTTCCAGGCAAAATAGGTGGTGTTGTGTGGACTTTTAAAAGTTGGTGTGCACTCAGCTGCTACATTCCTCTCTGATTAAAGCTTTGTCTGCATCATGTTGTGGAACTTTTTCTTGCAGTTTTAAGTGTGTGTAATGCTTAAATCAGTGCTGCAATAATTATATACTGGGCAGGACATACGCTCTACTGCAATTTGGGCTGTTGTCTTCAAATTTAAGTCACAATTTGTTTTTCCTGTTGTCTTGCTCCTTTTGGCAGATGGTGACAGAGGACCAGTTCTGTGGTCATCAGGGCAATGACATGTATGACGAGGAGAAGGTGAAATACACAGTCTTTAAGGTCCTGAAGAGCTCCACTCTGCAGGAGTTTGTCCAGAACCTCTCCCAGACCATGGTGAGAGACTTGAGAGTGTGTGCAGAATAACCAGTAAAGGAAGTGCATGTGGGACTTGTTCACATACAGTGCCTGTAAAAAAGTATTCACCCCCTTGGATGTTTTACAATTTTACTGATTTTATAAATCAATCATGGTCAATATAATTTCTTTTTTGAAAACATTTTTTTTACAGAACAACCTCTTTAATGTCAAAGTGAAAACAGGTTTCTACAAAGTAATGTCAAATAAAAATATGTCATGGGAAATAAGTGTTTGCATAAATATTCACCCCCTTCAAGTCAGTATTTAGTACATACACCTTTGGCTGCAGTCATATCACTGAGTCTATGGATAGGTCTCAGTCAGGCTTGCACATCTGGACACTGCAATTTTGCTCTATTCTTCTTATTCTTCTTTGCAAAACTGCTCAAGCTCTGCCAGGTTGTGCAGGGATCAGGCGTGAACAGCCACAAATTCTCTTTTGGATTGAGGTCTGGGCTTTGACTTGATCACTCCAGAACACTTACCTTGTTGTCTTTGAACCATTTCTGTGTAGCTTTCGCTGTATGCTTCGGGTCATTGTCTTGCTGGAAAATAAGCTGGCCGGACCTCTGTTGAATTAGATCAGTCATTTTAAAGGGCGTGAATATTTATACAATCACTTATTTCACATTACATTTTTTTATTGACATTACTTTGTATAAACTTGTTTTCATTTTGACATTAAAGAGGTTTTTTGTAATAAATTTTTTTTTTGTCAAAAAAGCCAGATCATATTGACCATGATTGATTTATAAAAGTGTAAAACATCCAAGGGGAGAATACTTTTTATAGGCACTCTATGTTCTGTCATCATAGAGGACTCCAAACTAACAAAGCTGAAGTACCGATACATTTACATTAATAGCACTTTGTAGCACATTTCTAAATGTTTTGCTGCATAAATAGTTTAGAGAAAGTGCAGAATGAACAAGCATTTTTGAAATGGGATTCTGAATTGATAAAATGCTTTGAACCTAAGCCCTTCACTGTTCCTGTTTATTTGCTGTTCTTTAAGACGGGTCTTTAAGCTTGATCTGTTGCTGGTAACTGAATCAGCTAATCTATGACTGAACTATCTGAAACTCTCTTTGCACATACACTGTATATCGAGTCATCTCAACAAATGAGCCTCTATCTGAAGGGGAGGCTTGTTGATTTTCCTGTTTGCAGAACATTGTCCAGAGTTGCCCTTTCACACATGTAGCACACAACAGGAAATTGTCCATGACAGACACATTCTCACCTACTGGAAATACTCAGTTTGATTTATGGTGGGGGGTGCCTGAATCTTGTTGTCTCTGTAGGTTGACTTTTGTGTGTGTGTGTGTTTAAATGAGCCTATTTCTTCATCCTCAAATATTTGCATTCTTTTGGTTTTGTGCCAGTCAAATAAAGAAACATCATCAACACGCCCACTAGTTGGGTGTGAATTCTCCAGACTGTAACCTGCTCTGTTCACACATGGGCTCAGTCCAACTATAAATGGACTGGGTAGATAACAACAGTATGCTGTGATTTATTTGAGAAAAATAAATGGTTGGTCCCACCGTTTTGCCGTTATTAGAAGTGCAAATTATCCATGAGAATAAAAGCTGCTGGGTAGAAAATCTCACCTATTATTTTGCTACAGGGATTCCCACAGGATCAGATGAGGCTGTGGCCCATGCAGGCCCGGAGCAATGGAACCAAGCGGCCCGCCATGCTCGACTACGAGGCTGACTGCAACAAGTCGGTAAGCGTTGGTGTCTGGAAGACCTGGCTGTTTGTTTGTGTGGTAAACTGGCAGGTGTTTGTGTGGTCGTAGTCCAGCATTTTAGTCAGTATTTGGATCCGCTGTCTGAGCTCAGTACAGATAAAGGTCCTGACCATGTCTAACGTAGTCGCCTTTATCAGTGGAAACGAGGAAACTGATGAATTTGAGACTGGATTTTTTTTTTCTTGGTCCTTAATGAGTTGCTTTCTTAGAAGTTCTTTATCCTGCATGTCACAGGGGCTTAAGTCAGTGTGGAAGTATCTTAAAGGTCGGTGCCACTGACGACTGCTAGAACCTGGCTCCAGTTGTCTCCCGTTCTTAAAGTACCAACCTCTCAACAAGGAGTTTTTGTGGTGTCTGTAGTTTGATTTTAGCCCTCTAGTAAGCACACTGGTGGTAATTTTGCACATTATTGCTCTTTAAAATAAGATGTTTGGGCGTAGAGAAGGCTTTGACGTCTGTCACGTGGCTGTTGATTTTCAGGCGTGATTGACAGTTTGCTGCCTGTTGTTCTATCAGCTCAACTCGCACTGACTCAGACCGTCAGAGCTTTTGTTTATATAATCAACAGACAGTTCAGCTGTGGCTGTTATACTGTTAAGACCCTCACACAGTGTCGTGTTTAGTTGTTTGTGGTACCTAGTCTGTTAGTGTAGTATAGCTAACTTGTTTACCGTTGGCATTAAGTTGGTGTTTAAAGTACATTTGCATTACACAGTCCACCAGCTGGCCAGTTTCTTTGATAGCTGATTCTGATGGTTACTGAAAACAGGAGTAATATGGCCTAAACTAAAATGTGATTTAATGCTGCAACTGCTACTGTGTTGAAAAACTGTGCAAATCACCAGTTAGTGAGAGGATGCCCACCTGATGATCCGGTGGACCTTCACTCCTACACCCACACAGAACCTGTACTGGTATACTGGTATTGGTGGTAATATAGCTACTGACTCACTGGAATTCTTTTGTTAGACAGCCTTGGTAGAACGGTGTCAGTGGTTGGACAACTGAGTGGACCTGGCTCTCAGTGGTGACAGCCACTGCTCAACCTGAGCAAACACAATGCTGATGCTGTGTGTCAAGCCACATATCTGCTCTTTGCCTGGATGAGGACAAGGTTCAGGGATGCTTTGTGTTAAGGGCCGGTTAGGTCTGGAAGATGGTGTTTTTATTGTGGGGCTCTGAAGATTTATGATGGCCTGATACCCCCCCTCTCAGGGGCCAAATAATGGGTAATCATTTAACTCGTATACTGAGCTCTCCCATTCTTTGGCACATTTATTTGTACATCTTGGTTGAGTTTCTTTTTTTTTTCCTTTTTCTTAGTTGCACATCTTGGTTGAGTTTCTTTTTTTTTTTCTTAGTTGTGTCCTTGGGCAGTGAGTCCCGTCTTTGTCCCTTACTCTGTGATATTAGAAAATAAACTAGTTTTAATGTATTTGCACGTTTTGTTTTTCAGATGATCGACTTGAGCGACAATGAGAACCCCTGGACAATATTTCTGGAGACAGTGGATCCTGAGATGGCTGCCAGTGGGGCCACATTACCCAAGTTTGACAAAGACCGTAAGTCTCGCATCTCAGCCCTCGTCCTGCTCAGTGTGTGTCTGTGCAGCGTTCTACACATTGTTTCATAACTTTAATATCACTACATTTAAGAGCTCATTGACTTGGTCTTTGGATGCAAAGGTCTGTGGTGAACATGACCTCGCTATCACTCCTCCTTCGGTTTTCAAGGTGTTTTTGTTTCAAACAAATGTTTTACTCGGTTTGTCTTGGCATTGACATCGTGCAACTTGAATTACTAGAAGTGTTGATCACTGCTGTTACTGCTCACATTGTGGGAAACACTAAGTATAAGTAGCTGTTTTAGGTTTGTGAGTGTTAACTACTCTTTGTGTGGTTTAAATGTAACACTAGCTGTGGTTGTTTTTGGTGATGCACTGTTCACCCTTTGCAGCAAGAATGCCTTTTGTTGTACTGCATTTTATTTCTCTGTTCGTTATTATGGTGTTGCTTGGTCTGAACAGCTGCTATAGCTTTAGTGACTTTGTCTCATTTCTTTTAGATGATGTCATGTTGTTCTTGAAGATGTATGACCCTAAAACCAGAAGCTTAAATTATTGTGGACATATCTACACACCTATATCCTGCAAAATAAGTAAGTAGTGGTTGTACTAACATCCAAGTCTATTTCAAGCTTCACACATGGTCACTAGATAACATATGTTTGAATTTATACTAGTTAAGTCTCATGAGTTTTCTGTTTGCAGTAAAGCTCTTTGAATTCAAAGATTAAATGATGTTTCTGTTGCTCTTTTCTCTCTGTCACC